TGAATATGGATCCAAGTAAAATGAAATTCCTGACAACTTCAATCTTTTCTCCATTTGCCATCAAGTTGCTTGTTGGCCCAGGGTTTTGTTTTCTTTCCATTGAAGCTATGCTGGACGTTATAGGTTTGACGTCCAACAGTAAGTGCTTCAAGACCTCTTGGCTTTCAGCAAGCAAGGTAGTGTTGTCTCCGTATCAGAAGTTTTGTCTTCTTCCAATCCTGAAGTCATGCTTTTCTTCAGATGGTATGGCTTCTCAGATGATTTGTTCAGCATAAGCCGTGGGTTATTCATCGCTCATATGCAGGGGAAGCTGGAGAATCATCCAGACTGACTGACTATGGTGAAAGGGTACAACCCCGAGGAACACCTTTCTTGATTTTAAATCATGCAGTGACCTCTGGTCCTGTTCGAAGAACTGCCTCTTTGTCTATGCAGAGGTTGGGCGTGTACATAAGTGAAGTATTCTGGAATTTCCATTTTACAACGTAACTCACACATTTTGATGGTCAGCAAAGGCGAAAGCCTTGCAGAGTCTGTAAAACACAGGTAAAGCTCTTTTGGATAAAATCACTGCTTTCAGCCCAGATCTATCTGGTAACAACGATCTAGCTCGTGCTCACGGGTTGACACGGTGGCTGTGACGATGGGGTCAGACATAACAATCCTTGTGAGGACGGTGCACGACAGGCAGTGCTTTGTTGTGCTGTACTGGGGACCCTCAAGGCAGGGCTGACTCGATGGCACCTACAACAGGTGTCAGTTTCTGAGAAGTGGAAACAGAGAGAGAGGCGAGGAACAAAATTGGGGAAAGACAGACACCGTGTACAGGTGAGATGTAAGAGAGGCTGAAAGAGACAATGATTTTCATTCTGCAGTTTCATTATTCATAGAAGTCTGAGAGTGAATTTCCCCCTAGAGCTGGTATCCTAAACCTAGACTTCAAGCCTACTGAACCCTGAGAAAGTAAATTTCTGTTCTTTAAAGTCACTTGTTTGTAGTATTCCTATGACAGCAACCCTAAGAAGATACAATTCAATCCATTCTCTATCTCATTTTATATATATATATAAAACACAATAATCGAGTTAGCTGTGACCTGAATTCCATCTCTTTCTTTTCTCTGGCTCTAGTCTCTGTAGCTTTCTCTAGATTACCCCTGCTTTGGAAACTCCGTTACAAAGGTGTCCTATCTGAGCACAGACAGATCCGTCCTGAAGAGGCCAGCACAGTGCCGGTTACTAATTTTTGCTGAATTAGCCCGATCCTACATGATTTAAAAAAATCAAGTTCTCCTATCACTCAACTAAATCATAGATTTACCAAACAATTTTCTTAACTGCATCAAAATGCCTACCATGTTTTAAAGTAAGGGACCTAATTTCTCTTTTCCATGCTATGGAAAATGTTACTAATTAAAAATGTAAAAGTCTCCTGTAATCTCAAATGTGTGTTTAATAAAGGCCACTGGAAGTGCTGTTTTCTTCTTTCATCTATGTCTCTGCTCATTCGTGTCTTTGAATACAAGCTAGTTGCCTCTCTGATGGGGAACGACACAGACATTGGGCTTGGTGCTCAATTACCAGGGCTGAACTTGAGGACTCGGCTTTTGGGGTAATAGTCCACACCAGACTGGGCAGAGCCGTCCCGGGTGCTACAGCGGATCTTGGAGGTCCTGTTCTGATCGCCTCTTCGGATCACCTTAATGTCAAGAATAGCAGTGGCATCTGGCCCTGCAGGTTCCCGAACTTGGTAGGCAGCTTCTTCAAACTCAATGGTGGGGGCTAAGGAAACATGGTTC